AAACTTTTTATAACTTTTCCTCTGTTATTTTTATATATTTTTTTATATCTTTATATATTTTTTTATTAATATATTTATATATTTATATTTTTTTATGTGCATCGATCAATTTCTCTTGGGGGAAATTCCTATTGTCATCGGCAAGACATGTTGATGATGCATTTCAAGCCCTGGCTGATAGGCTCAGAGTACGAGATGAAAGTTTGATCGCTTCAAAAATTTAACAAATGAGTGTGATGTAATGAGAATGGGTACATTGACACTACAGAATACCTTTCTACATATCAGACATTGTCAATGAGTGACGACAAGATTTTATTGATAGATCCAGATTGAGAAGCAGAGGATTGTTTTCCTCTGCTTCTCAATCTGGATCTATAAGAATGTGACGTAATCGAAGACTTTATTCAGCCGCCAACTATAATTGAAGCGATATCAGCTTTGCCAATTTGTGTGCACCAAATTGTAACGGGAGCATAAAGATCTTCATTTTCGATGACCAACCATTAGTAATATTTGAATTCAGCTTTGTTTTTTGGAGCAAATTGTGCACAGAAGTTGGAGATTGCCTAAGCAAGCCCACCGCAAATTTTTCCGGCGTGAACAACTGCGAAAAGACCGAAAAAGTTTTTCTCCTATAATATTGGAAATTCAGTTAGTGTCATTCTCAAGGAGACTAGTACCGCAAATCCTCGAATAAGCCCCCGGGGCTTATTTGCAAAATTGAATTTTTTGATGGAGGCTTATTCAAGGGGGAGGGGGGCTTATTCGAAGGGTGGCTTATTTCAAAGTTTAGTATTTTCCTTAAAGTGTCTATGTAACGAAATTTCATGTCTTGTATTTTTTAGAGTTATATTTTCCCATCTTTTCTGATACGTTTGACAACAAAATTGTCTTAATTTGACCAGCAATTGTGTGTTTAATCAGACTTTGAAATTATTCAGTACTTGCAAAAACCAAGGCCAGTTTTTGTCGTCACAGTGATGAGTCGGGTCGACAACAATCAGAAAACTGCGGTTGTACAGATAGGTTTTAGTGAGGGAGATATACAGAAAAATTGTGCAAATTGTGATACAAGCACCGAAATTTTAGAAAACACCAAGTTTGATACGCTGAAAAAGATGTGCTATAGACTCCAAGTCGTATCTTGTCCATAAAATCTCTTTTTAGACTGGGGGTACTTCGGTCAAGACCCTTCATTGTACCTTTGGTCATAAATGGAGAACTCCAGGTCATAGAAAGTTGAAATTCACAAGAAAAGGCAGTTTAACGAGCCGAAAAAGATGTAAAATAGACTCAAATCATATTTTGCCCCCTCAATTGTATTTTTAAACTGGGATACTCTAGTCCAGACCCCTGGCCATAACTGGAGAACCCCAGGTCATAGAAACTTGGAATTCTCAATATAAAGGCAGTTTGACATGCAGAAAAAGATTGCATAAAGAACCGAATCATACTTCGCCCCTAAGTTCTATTTTTAGACTGAGGGTGCTCTGATACAGACCCCTTATTCTACCATTGGCCATAAACGGAGAACGGAAATTCTCAATATAAAAGCAGTTTGATACGCTGATAAAGATAGTGCAAGATATGATATAGTTCCTATTAACATTTTGAACTCTAAAAATAGAAAAAGGGGGAAACATCCAGTCGGGGTCCATATCCTATCGTTTTAAGTGTACCAAACTGCCTCTTATTGCACAGTTTCATGCTATTCTACCAAAGTTAGACTGAGATACGATAATACCGTCAATAAAAGTCTAGGGCATATTACCCCAGTCTAAAAATATAACAAGGGGGGCAATTTTCAATTCGACGACAAATGCACAATTCAACGTAATAACTGATTTAACTGGTCTGAATGAATGGTTTCGCCTCGACTCATCACTGTGACGTCACAGCTGGAAATAAAATTTCACAATGCAACTGCAAAATATGCATACTTTGACACTCAATAAAAAAAGAACCATTTAACTTATCGGAATTCTGTTTTTTTGTATAAGAACAAAGGCGAAGGATTCTATAGATTTCTTTTAAAATGTTGGAATGGTAAATTTCGCTGCATAGGCACTTTAAAGGTCGACATAAAGTCGACATAATTTTCTTAATGGAAGAAATTGAGAAATTACAAAAAGACCTTTTTCAATTTTGGTCTCCAGTCGAAGGAAGTAATACTGTATAGCTATTGTCCTGTGAGGGCTTTCTTGAAATAAGATATTATTTTGCAATTATTATTTCCATGGGGGCTTATCGAGATGGGGGCTTATTTAACAAAGATGAATTTTTAGGAGGATGCTTTTTCGAAAGGGGGGGGGGCTTATTCGAGCGTGGGGACTTACTCGAAGATTAACGGTAAGCGTCACTTCTTCTCGAGTATATTTTGGTCTTTTCTTTAAATTAGGTAATGAGATGTTAGTTTTGAGGAATTTTCTATATTACTTTATTCACGAGAAACATTGCAATGGATTTAAAACATCTACTCGATGATTTGAGGTACATTTTATCGATTTGATTCTGTTGGAGTACATCACAATGGGGTCTAGATGTAATAGAGTAATTGTATTATGTTTGGTTTTGTGCAACTTTTTGAAGAATTGACAACTAAGGATGGAGTTAAATTTGATGTCTCCAGGGTGGAGGGATTATTATTCCCGAGTACCTCAAGGGTCTGTGATGGGTCCCTTTATGTCTTCTTTCCCATTTAAATGACCTCTGCATCAACTTGAAAACTGTCATTTGGCTATTTCCAGTCGATACTTTGTATGCAGTGATTGAATATGAGATTATTGGTAGCGAAGAATTTAATTAAATTCTTCAGGTAATATGAGCCTGACAACGCAATGAATTTTGATACCTTTAGAAGGAAAAAAGGTACCTCTCCTACAAAAAAGAACGAATTTACAAGAGAAGCAAGCAAAATATCTCGAGTTGATTTTCGATCCATGATGAAGTTTGCATACGCGGAATCATCTGACTCAAACTATTTCCTTAACCTAACTTGATGTTCTTAATCTAACGTACAAACGATATTTCTGGCCTCAACTTGTCAGGTCTTGACTATATGTCCGACATCAACTATGGTGACCAGTGTTAAGGTAAGATCTAACCCTGAAAAATGAAAAAAATATTAAGCTAGTGTTCTGCAGCCCTTACTGTCTCTGGTGCATCAAGAGGCAAATGCTTTACAATGAATTGAGGTATAGCCCCTGTACAGTAGAAGATTGTGCCAGGAGTTAGGTGACTCCTCTAACTTAAAGAATAATCAACGACCTGAATTATCTCAATGTCCCTTCTGAAGGATATCTGTCCTTTCCATAGTTACTTTTTAAGAGCAATATGCACGTGAATCTTTTTGTGTCCGTTATTGGAAAAGTTTATAATGCATTTTATGTTTCATGCATAGTGGAAACTTGCTGACCTAACCTCCTTTCCCAAAATGGATGGCAGGTAGTCAGTTAGCTTTTTTGTTTCTTAATTGATTTCGATCTTATGAATAAGAAATTACAAGTCTCTCCGAACAAACAGATAACGAGAAAGGAGAATCCACCTTGTGACTAAGCAGTCATGAGCGCCGTCCATTATTGACAAAGATTTCACAAACTTCTCTCTACATAGATATAAGCAGACTTTCTTTCTTTAATCGCATTAAAAATGGTTATCTTGAGATTATTTTCGGCTTTACGTGATGCCTTTATTCTTCAGTCATGAGCTTTCATATTGAATGCCTTTGCTTATGATAACGTGTCTATTTTAAAGCTTTAGGTGAAATCGAGAATGAAGAAGCCAATGACGTGAATACAGAGATAGAACAGGATGAGAACCTTGATGCCGATAACCAGTTGTCTCGTGACAATGGAGATGAGGACCTAGAAAGCAATGATGAGACAAAGAAAGGTTCTTGAGATTTTCCAATCCTACTTCATAATCAAATCTTTTACAAAAGTTTTGCAAGACATCTTGAATACTTTTGTATCAAACATAAAATATTTCAAAAAGTTAAATATATGCTTTGCATTAACGTTACGTTTAATGCTTCGTTCGTAGCAAACACAATTGTAAATTTTCTGAAATGTTCTTCAAGTTTGTCTTCTATTCTTGAAAATAGCAATCACGAGTTTAATTATGTTAAATGTATGGTCTTTTTTGTTTCCTTTTTAATCCAAATCATGAAATATATTACCTTTTGAAAATTAATTGATATGAAGTAAATCTCCTTGCAGATGCATGGTATCATTCCTATGGCCGCCGCCGTCGTTCCTATGTCCGCCGCCGTCGTTCCTATGTCCGCCGCCGTCGTTCCTATGTCCGCCGCCGTGGTGCCTATGTGCGCCGCCGTCGTTCCTATTTCCGCCGCCGCCGTGCCTATGGCGGTTAAATTCCTTCATGGAAAGTTCGTCCGCTAACTCTATGGACACGGCACTGGCATGTTCGTAGTTGTTAAGTCTGTACGAATGCTATTACTACAAAGATAACGTATAGACAGACTTAGATGCCATTTTTAATCAATTTCTATACACATTTTAGCAATATACTTAGCCTGGAAAATTTTGTGTCTTACATCGAACTAAATTCTCATTCGCATAGCTTTCTTCCGTTTTAATCTCTAAAAAAGCATGATAGATAATTAGGCAGGGCTATAATTAGCAAGAAACTGCAGCGAATTTCTCAAGGCTGTTAGTCAAATCGGATACCAGCAGTGGCGGACTGGCTCAGAATTTTTAACCGGCCACAAATACCTAGAGGGACCCAGGTGGGTGTGGTCTGAAAATCAGGGCGTGGCCAAGTGAGCATTTCATCATAATCGATCAATTTCTAAGCAACATAGCATATATAGCACTAACAGCAAAGTTGAGCTGTTGATTACAAATGGGTGCTGAGTACACTAATTGAAAATTAACATTAAATAATAAAAATTCTGTCTGATTTGGATTTCAGTAATTTTGCACAAGAGACTTTCTCGAAGAAACAAAGTTAAAAGATATAAGAAAACTAGCCTAAGATGCGTAAAGGATAGTAAGTTTAAATTACAGAATATCTGAGGTGTGAGGAAGCCTTATCTTTACTGAAACTTAAACAAAAGATGGCAGACCTAGAAATAGCAAACTAGAAAGGAAGGTGCACTGATTCGATTTTTAGAAGTTGTGGCTCACATGCGGAATACATTGAACGTCTATTGGATTGTACAAATTTCTATCAAAAATTCAAAATGGAAAAACGTGCTCAGCGACAAATAAAGCCAAAGCGAATCATTTCTATATAGGAAAATTTGATATCTTAATCATGATGTTACAACCAAATCATAGCAAGAAGGTTCCCTATCATTTTTGTGTAATCATCCGCTAAATTGGTTTGCTGTCCGTATTTTAGACTTAATACGTGCTTACAAACTATATTTTTCACAAAACTTTTAAGTTTATCATTTCGAAGACCGTTTCAATCAAATGCTACCGGAAGTTGCATTTCTTTAATTTGCTTTCAAAGAAACTAGTGATTAGTCCTGTCCCCTTTTTGCATCAACTTTGCCTTCCTTTCTGAGAACCATTTGCGATTCGAAGTTTATTTGTCCATTATGTGCAATTTGGCTAATTCTTGCCATTTTATTGACATCTTTTTTATGTCAATTTTTCATTCCATGAGGCAACACCTTTACCTGTTCGTGTTTTATACTAGACAGTCCATTGCAAGCAAAAAACTAGATTATTCGGTAAACGAATCTTCAAGACAATGCAACAAACCCTGTTGAAGTATCATTCACATCGCATTATCTTAACGCTATGGGTCTGCATCGTATCTTGTTCAGCGCCCAAAACTACCCTTCTGGACAAACTTTCATACTGGTATCCGATTCTGAAAAACTCTCTCAAAGTCTGGGACTAAACACTCTGACTAAATGTGAGGATTCGAGACAAGCCTTTCTCATATTAAAGCAATCGACATACGTTAAGTACACTAAGCGTACAAAAGTAGGACGATGATCAAGAGTTCGCACCCATATTAGTCGCAAGCCAGCTAAAATAAAGAAAAGCGTATATACAGAAGAAATTCTTGTCACAGGTTGAATTGAGAAATTGGATTTACCTATCTTTGACTCTATTGTCAAAACTAAATTATTGACTAATTGTAACCTATGTGTTGAATAAAATTTGAAATATAGGCTCTCAGGATCAAATGAAGAAGAAGTTCCCCTCTCACAGGTAAAATGGAGGAATTCGGTCCAGTTGGTTCACTGAGCACAGCTACATTTTTCAATTCAGAAAACTTTTCAGAGATCCTCCAATTTTATAAAGTTGAAAAGTCCTATTAGCTTCTAAATCAAAACTTGGACCATATAAAGGTCTTGGCTCTCAGAGGTAAAATAGAGAAATGTGGTCCAGTAGGTTAACTGAGCCCAGTTAAACGGCTCTTATTCAGAAAACTCTTCGTATTAGATCTTACCGTTTTTTCAAGTTGAGCAGTTTTATTAGATTTTATTTAATATCTCGGACCATTTAAAAGGGTCTGATTCTCAAAGGTAAAATAGAGAAATATGGTCCTTTAGGTTAACTGAGCACAGTTAAACGGCTCTTATTTAGAAAACTCTTCGTATTAAATCCTACCGTTTTATCAAGTTTGGCAGTTTTTTTGGATTTTAATTCGATTCTCGGACCATTTAAAAGGGCCTGACTCTCATAGGTAAAATAGAGAAATGTGGTCCTTCAGGTTCACTGAGCACAGTTACATGGCTCTATGTCAGAAATATCTTCGTAGATTTTCTTGTCTGATCAAGTTGACAAGTTTTTTTAGACTTTAAATCAAAACTGGGACCATTTAAAAGGGCCTGATTCTCAAAGGCAACATAGAGAAATGTAGCCTGCGCGCAGTCTACTCTTCTGTAGCTGTTGCTGAACGAGGAATGTAAAGACTGCGAATCAGCAAACGATTATTCGTATTGCCGACTCAGCAAAATGCAAATTTACCGGAAATTGCCCACTGATCAGTAGAAAAAGGTTTTTTCCAAAAAACATAGTTTGCTACTAATTACCATTGACTTATGCAGTGTGCTTTGTCGACAATTATTCCAATGCATGCTCCCTTGTAATCATCGCGTGACAGTATTTTTCGCCATCTTTACAAGGAAAGCATCGACTCCGGGGAAGCATAAACATATGAAATTTCACTGAAATAAACATCATTCCCTTTAAAGAAGTCGGTAACTTGATCATTGTACAATTCCGAAGAAACAAGATACCGTCAGAAGAGACTCTCTTAGTTTGTCTTCGTTCCACTCAAACTTCCCTTCGCTGCTGCCGGCAGTGGCGGATTCAGACCGGGTTCCAAGGGTTCTGGAACCCTGTCAAATTTTCCAAAGACACATAACATCAGTTTTCCCTTTACTTTCGAATTAATCGCAACCAGTCCCAACGTCAAATGGCCTCTTGTACCAAAACCTTTTCTGCTATCTAAATATGGTATTGTGAAAGAAAGGAACCCTGTCGTAGCCATGGTTATCTTTTGTAACATATTATATTCCTCTAAAGAAAGGAACCCTGTCGTAGCCAAGGCAACTTTTTGTACCATATTGTATTTTTTAAGAAAGGAACCCTGTCGTAGCCATGGCAATCAATTGTCTTATATTGTTTTTGCTACAAACAAAAGAACCCTTTTGGAACCCATCTCACGAACTCATTGGAACTTATTTAGACCGCTGACCATACATGCTTCCTGTTGTCATAATGGCGACGTGAAGCTGCGAGTGGAGGCTTTGACTGCACGATGACGAGAGCTTGTTTTAAGCCCTCAAACAGGAAGGGACCAGCACCTGAAGATCAATAAAATTTGATAATCGTATGGAAGAGTGCTATGATTTTTCAAGAAAGCTTTTCAAACACGCCTCGCCAACTATTTGCTCATTTTTCTCGACTGGCCTAGCCAACCTGGAGAAAACAGATCACCGCTTTTTTACATGGATCTAGCGAAAAGTCCATTTCAGATAGTTGTAAAGTGGCGTTCACGAAAGAATGCGTTGCAATTAGCAGCAGAGAATTCTTGGCAGGAACTCAGGAATGTCGAAGATATTTTCTCTTTGACGTAGAAAGCTTATAGAACTCTTGAAGCCCTATACAGAATATATTTATCTATAGAGTGAGATAACTTTATTAAGATAAAATGAAAGACCTTGAGAACGGGATAAGATGATTTCATATTTCATAATTTGCACTTTTTAATAATTGGGTTTGTTTGCTATATATGATAAGAGCAGGGGCGAAACTTCACTATTTTCATTAGGGGGGTATGAAGCTTAGTTGCCCGATGAAAGGGCGTGGCATGCTTGATGAAAGGGCGTGTCCTACATGAACTTCATTTTTAGAGCACATAGCCTCAAGGGCTGAAATCATCGGGAAGCCCGAGAGAGGTTCTTTAGACTCAGGCTGTTTGTTTTAAGTCAAAAAATATGCCTCTAGTTTTTCTTGTGTTGGCTATAAACATTTGTTTCCGAAAAGCAAGCATTTGTAAGGCCTGTCTTTTCTATAAAAAAAGAGTCTTCACTTTCTAAATCACCTAGCTGTTAAGAGAGCAATTCAAAAAAGAGATTGAAGTAGGGCCTCAATTTTATCAAAGTGGAACACCAAAACGCAGCTTGGAAATATCGGAATTTAGAAACAGCTACGCAGATTACAATGTTCCAACAAAAAAGAGCTTCAGTTGCATTCTCTGAGTTTCATTTTCAATTTTCGATTGCTCCGGAAGCAATTTCAATATTTTTAGACACCCAAGCACAAAGTACGTATATCTAAATTCACCTTAACAAAATCCCTCAAGCAAAGAAAAGTTTTTTATTGGAGGTATTTTACAGGTATACCTATCATCAAAGCTCAGTTTTCATGTTTTCGTAATCATGGATATTGTTCAGAAATAGAATAAACTCGAAAGATTTTTTGCAATTCATATCTTAACTTCAATTTCTTGATAAATTTTATATTACTTCCCGCTTGAACTGATTAAAACTTTCTGTTACTTGTTATGGTTATTCAAATTTTTTTAGTTAAAAAACTTTGGCGTCTGTATGACCATTTTCTAGCGAAGGGTGCAATACTTTCGAACCGTAAGTGTAAAACCTTAAGAGAATTTTGGGGCATAACTCCTTATGGATGTATTGTTGTGAAGGAGCAGCACGCGGTTAATCCTTCACTCGTTCCTAGACCTCGAAGTTGCATTAGTCAGTTGTTCACGCCACGTTGTAATGAAAAGGTGTTCACGTTTGATCATGTTTATCGTAAATAGTTTTATTATGTTCCTGTTGATGTTATGAAATGTTTAAAAACCCAAATGATGTCTTCTTCAAATGTCCTGACCTAAATCTCTAAAACATGTTTGATTTCATGAATGAAAGTTTCATACATTTGGAAAAGAAAATATTGATTGATTTTCTCAACAACGTACTCCGAGATGGTATATCCTTCATGCTTTGATTCATGATGCTTCTAAAACTGTCAGTGTTGAGGGGGGGGGGGCTTTTCAAGAGAAAATTTAGAAATCACAACAAAAGATTTTGAAAAAAGCTCACTTGTTTTGCAAAAAGTAGGGGGAGGGGTATC